GCCCAGTTTAAAAAGTCAAAACAAAGGGCAAACAAAGCATATAAATGTCACAATCAATCCTGTTATTGCCAGCGTAGGCTTTGTGGAGCACGATAAATACCCTTTAACTTCTTCTCAGAGCCTCAAGCAAACAAAACCATCCCAGCAATGTCATTTATTTGTATTGACCAGGAAAATGAAAGCAACTTACCCAGTACATTGGAAAATGAAGTTTAAAGCAGGTGATAAAACCCAAACTTCACAGACATGGATAACCTCAGCTGACCTCCTGCACCACACTGGCCATAGGACAACATCCCTTTTTGCCTCAAGCTCTGTTTGAGCCACAGCACTTATTAAATAGAACTTTCTTTCTCCATTAAGGGCTTCAAGGGAAGTTTATACAGCTTGAGCTTGAATATGTTTTAAAACTTAATAAATTTAAATCTACAAAAACGAGCAGTTAATTTTATAAGCATTCCCCAGGAAAACATGCAATGAAAACTACAATAGAACACAGGCAACTTACACTGCAAAATGGGAAACCCAGTTCAGCTGTTAGAAAACAACTAGCTAACAATGAAAAGTTAGGGTTTCAGATCACAACAGCTGAGAGGACTGCTCTAATTACTTGTTTGAATATTTTAATAAAGATAGCAATAGTACAGAAGGAAGTCTTTCCTATGTGCAAAGTTGCTAAGGTGAGATTGTATACTGTGCATACTATTCTTCATTATACATAAATTACTTTAACAAAGCCATATGCCAAGTCTCTTTTTTTAAATGATCCTTTTATCATTCCAGAAAAAAAAAAGTATATTTTTATAATCCACGTCCTCTCCCCTCCAGTCATCCCTGCTTCATAGATGGCCACCAGGACCTCTGACTGTTGAGGGCGAGCCTCAAGAAAGCCATCTGCACATGGAGGCAAGGACTGATCACCCTTATGGAAGAGAAAGTTTGGTATAATCAACCAGTTCATTTAAAACGGGCCATTAAATAGAAGCAGTATCCAGAATATTTGTTAAAATCTAGAACTGGTAGCTTCAAAACAGTATGTGAACTACCTCCAGGACAAGTCCTAGTCATGGAACACACAAAGCTGTAACCAAAACAACCCACACAAGGACAGGCACCCTCCTAGGAAAAGTTTACCCATCAAGGGAAAACTGGCACGGCCTGAAACAGAGGGCAAGCAAACTAGGCGAGTATGTGAAGAATCTGTGATCCAGTCTAATTCGCATATAAATATTAACCCCTTTAGCACAGTATTAAGATTCTGTTTGCTTACCTGTTCAGGAGAAGAAAAACAAAATCTTTGTGCTGTTACAAGGAATCCCGTAAGAAGCAATGAAAACCGTATCCTAAGAAGTCTGACACACCTCTGCATGTGCACATCAGATGAAGTCTGCTCCCTAAAACTAAACTGAGTAAGACCAGTGAGGAGCTACTCTGTTTATGTTCCAGCTAATACCTAATAGAGAAAGGCCGTGCTTATTTTTTTTCTTCGAGGATTCACAATTTGCTGTCCAACTGAAGGAATTCTCTAGTCTAGAATGTGAACATCATGGAGTAACATTACACGCACGTGTGGTGGAGATATTCCTTCAGCCAGACAGGTTACAGCTGCAGGAACAGCAACTTGAAACATGTAAATACTTCAGGCAAACAAAAAGCCCCAGTTTGACCATGCAGAAGACAGCCGGTTACAACTTTACAATTTTTTCTAGGAAGTCTTTATTTCTGGGTGTGCCGAATGTTCAGAAGGCACTGCTGTAAATGAACTGCATTTCTTTGTAAGATCTTCGGACTGTCCCTATTCTGTAGCCTTCAACCCCATCTCTAAACCATACCAAAGCTTCTTGAGAAGTATCTGCCAGCTTTACAATCCCTTCAGCTGCTTATCAGCTGAAACAATCTCAAGAAAAAGAACAAAAGCAAAACAGTAAATAGAAGTTAAATATAGGAACAGGCCATTGGAGAAAAATTTTCTCTAAAGTAATGTCAAACTGGTCTTTAAAATTTAATCACAGTTCACCAGCCAATGCTTCCTTCCATATTTTATGACGAGGAGCTTCCTTGTATAGCCCTCTAGTGTGAACTGGTCATGTATTTGCAGGGGCCACTTAAACAAATCAATCAGTTATGAGTACCCTGTGTGCATCCAGCTTAATGAAACAGGCTTTCCATCCGTTATCATAGGTCAGAAACAATCCCTGCAGAGTAAACGATGCCATATCTTAAAAATTATGCTGTGTTAACAATTGAGATCAGTATTATATAGATCATTTTAGAGCTTTACATAATTTTCAGTTTAACAATAAAAGTCTGCATGTGGCTCATTAGGACAAGCTTGTTTGGTTAAGCCCTGTGTAGTAATGAGTTTACATTCAATTTATGGAATTAAAGTCTCTTTACAGTTTCTAAAAAGTTACCCAAAGTCATAACTATGTAGGAAGGTTATCAGCTTAAGACCTGAAATGACTATAACACCAGTATAAGTTCCTTATGCATATTTACTTCCCCCCTCCCCCCCCCCAACTAAAGTTTAGTCAGGGAACAGGTCTGAGCAGTCACCAAGAACAATGGTGTGAGGGACAGGACATATGAAATGTTGTACCATGTTGATAATACTAGCAAACCCAGAACCGGGCTATATAAAGGCATTCAGGATCCAAGCATCCAGTCCAAAATCAAGAGCCTGAAGTCACTATATGCAAAGCACGAGCTGGGCTAGGCACCAATGAACAGCTATGCCAAACATTTGTCCAGCAAATGGGGCAACGCCAGCAGCTGACTGATCCAAAGAGCGAGTATACTGACCTTCTCCAAAGCTTAGGTGCTCAACTCATTGCTGCAAGCAGAAAGGATCCTCTCTTCAGAGCCCAGATCATATAGCCGTCTCCTCCTGAAGTTGGGCAATTTCACACATTAAATTAAAATAACAGAAAAGGCTTCATTTTCACAAGCAGTAGTGAGATCAAAATCACCCACGTAACGTATACTAACTTAGCAACTAGAGTAATGACCTAGAAAGGAAAGGGCTAGCTCTGATGCCTTCTGCATCCCTGCTTCTATCAGGGCTGATAGAGTGGCTCTGTCTTATGCTAGATCCTTTTGAAGCAGAGAAAGTGGAAAAGGACAAGCTCTTTAAAGCATTAACTTACCCACACCATTTGTTTTCTTTGGATATCTTTAAAAAGATCAAAGATTCAGCATGTACAACTGAACATGAAACAAGCAATAGCTGCAAGCTAAGTGATTGTAAGATACAAGAAGGTGATCAGGAGTAGTCAGCACATTTTCACCAAAGGGAAAGCATGCTTGACCAATCTGATAGCCTTCTATGATGGAATAAGTGGCTGGGGAGATGAGGGCAGAGCAGTGCATGTTGTCTCCCTGGACTTCAGCAAGGCTTTTGACACCATCTCCCGTAACAACCTCAGAGGCAAGCTCAGGAAGTGCAGGCTGGATGAGTGGATGGAGAAGTGGATTGAGACCTGGCTGGATGGCAGAGCTCAGAGGGCTGTGGTCAGTCACACAGAGTCTAGTTGGAGGCCTGCAGGCTAGCGGTGTCCCCCGGGGTCAGTCCTGGGTCCAGTCTTGTTCAACATATTCATCAGTGACCTGGAGGAAGGGACAGAGTGCACTCTCAGCAAGTTTGCTGATGATACTAAACTGGGGGGAGCGGCTGACACACCAGAGGGCTGTGCTGCCATTCAGAGGGACCTGGGCAGGCTGGGGAGGTGGGTGGAGGAGAGGCACCTCCTGAAGTTCAACAAAGGCAAGTGCAGGGTCCTGCACCCAGGGAGGAATAACCCCAGGCACCAGTATGGGGGCTGACCTGCAGAGAAGGACCTGGGAGTGTTGGTGGACACCAAGTTGAGCATGGGCCAGCAATGTGCCCTTGTGGCCAAGTAGGCCAATGGTGTCCTGGGCTGCATTAGGCAGAGTGTTGCCAGCAGGTGGAGGGAGGTAATCCTCTCCCTCTACTCAGCCCTGGGGGAAGCCTCACCTGGAGTACTGGGTCCAGGTGTGGGCTCCCCAGGACAAGAGAGACATGGAGCTACTGGAGAGAGTCCAGCGGAAGGCTACAAAGATGATGAGGGGACCGGAGCATCTCTCTTATGAGAAGAGGCTGCAAGAGCTGGGCCTGTTGAGCCTGCAGAAGAGAAGACTGAGAGGCGATCTCATCAACGTGTACAAGTATCTGAAGGGGGGGTGTCAAGAGGATGGGGCCAGACTCTTCTCCATGGTGCCCAGCGACAGGACAACAGGCAACAGGCACAAACTGAAACACAGGAAGTTCCGTCTGAACATGAGGAAAAACTTCTTTCTGTGAGGGTGCCTGAGCTCTGGAACAGGTTGCCCAGAGAGGCTGTGGAGTCTCCTTCCCTGGAGATACTCCAAACCCGCCTGGACGCGATCCTGGGCGACGTGCTCTAGAGGACCCTGCTGGAGCAGGGGGGTTGGACTAGATGATCTCCAGAGGTCCCTTCCAACCTCAACCATTCTGTGATACTGGCATATTTGAACAGAGCCTCTTTAATACACTCCAAGATAGGACATAACAGTAATTCCACCTATTGCAATTAGATAACGGCTTCTGACATTTGTTCCCCCATGCTTAGATCTCACCAGCGCTGACTGGCCTGATGACCGACAAGCCCAGAACCAAAACCTCTGCAGAGCCAAGAGCCACAAGGCACTTCCTACGCATCTCCAGAAATGAGGGGAAGGAACTCGGAGTTATTCACAGACAAGAGAACACCTGACAAGACAGCCCCAAGGATCCTAGTGGCCGAGAATCCACTTGAAGACCTCATTTCACCACAGAGCAATTAAGAAACATGAGCTCCAGTACAATAAACATCTGAAGTGCTCATTAACCTCCCACCCTAGCCAGTTCTAACAGCAACAATACCATTATGAAGGACCCCATATGCTGTTTCTCTAGTCTTTCCTCTTGTATAAAAGTCTTATGTCAGCTCTGAATTTAAGAAAAGACAAATACTTAAGCATCAGGCATCTTTACTCAGTTTTATTAGACAAGTCAAAAAGAAATGTTGAATATGTTTTAATTTCCATGTTTTAATACGTCATCATTTCAAGAACCTGGCAATTATGGAAAATAAAAACAGTGTTTACAAAAGTTACAAAAGCTGCACTGCATTCCAAATTACAGAAAACATAATTGACAAGGAAGCTTTATAAAACGCATAACAGATTTTCAACTGATTATGAAACATAGGTAGCGATATTTCCATGTATATGTGTTCACAAAATCAGCACAGTCTTGGAATTAAGGCACTTCGGATACGTAGTATTCACTTCCATATAGGAAAATAATTTCAGAGAAACCACAGTAAATTACTACTGGTAGACAGTAACAGTATGCCCCGTACCGGCCATCAGAGCACCAGGTTTGTGGGAATGAGTGAAGCTCTTGATAAAAAACACTGAGAATTTTTTTACCCTGATAATTAACATAGAAGACTCATTCAAGCAAATTTACTTTTAAGGAGGTGAAAGAAGAATTCCATGATTTAAACACTGTATTAAATACAATTTTAGAAACTAACCATTTTAAAATAAAAGTCTCTGGTGAAAACTGCATGAAGTTCACATTAAGGATTAGTGCATGTAGCTTTTTCCAAAAGGAAAAAAAAAAAACGTTCACTTTCTCCATTCAACAACTACCTGTCGCTTCATGAGGTACCCACCAACCACAGTATTATCCAAAGGACACAGTACAATAATAACTTGTCAGGAAGCAATCTCTCAAGACTGTACATTCTAGTCCTCCTTTTCATTTCAGATTGTCACGTTTACTGTCAGTATTCCAATCTCAATCAGCCACAAACATGCTACAGAGCTAGAACAGATTCTACAAATAGGTATTCTCTCATCTTAAGAAAAAATAATAATCTCAGTAAGTTTTCACTCCACTGTCTCTGAAACAAAATGTGAGTAGTAATTTGATAGTTCTGTAGCCATCTATTGCAGCCTTCAGTACACAAATTCTAAGGAGTAAAAATACAAGACACCCTTAAAGACTCAAGAACCTAACCCTGTAAGTACATCAATATTTTAGCAGGAGTAAAATGGAATGGTCAGCAATGACTTCAGCAACCACGTGCAGGATCAGGCATTGAACTTTTTTATTATTGTTGTTGTTGTTTGACTTCACCAATTTGAACAAGAAATATTGTCGGAGGGGGACCTTCGTCAAAAAAAAAAAAAAAATCAAAGCAGGGCCTATAAACGGAAGCTATGTTTACTCTGAACAGCTCAGCTGGTAAACTGAAGATGTAATTTCCCCATTAGTACTTTACACCATTAAGGACAAATCAGTAGGGTCTAACAGATTTCACCTGAAGTCAGGAAGAAACAAAACCAAACCAAACCCAACCCAATAAGAGAACTTGCTTATGCCCAGCATCTTTATCAGTATTTTCCTGCTATACCTTGTGATGAAGCATTAACATCCAGAAAAAAAAAAAACCCACACACTGTCCTTTAACATTAGTTCTTCTTTTATAAGAATTACAGTCTAGACATACATACAAAATCCATCTACTCAGCATTCCTCAGCACTGTAGGCTTCACCTCACATACATCTGAAGTTTTAAATTTAAAACACATGAATAACAGTTTGGGATCTAATCCAATACGAGAATTATTTACCTTCCTGACACACAATATTCCATTTCTTTTTAAAGTGACATTATGTTACTTGGACTGTAGAATGATTTTTGTACCTTCTTTCTAGGGCCCTGAGCATGAACAAGAGACCCACCATCAAGAGCACTGATGTAACATTCATTATTTTTGAACCTTTACTCTACCCAGCAATCCCCAGGATGTCATTTTGCAGTATGCTAGTGTTGGGATAACTTAATTTGAAGAGCAGCATAGAAAGTTTCACAGTTTAAGGGGCAAAAAGCATCGCATTGGTAAAGCTGCCACATCTTGTAGGGTTGATTTTATTGCTTCCTGGCACAAAGTCCCTCATTCCTGTGCAGGGTGACAGCAATCAGCTGTGAACCAACACACAGCTATAAAATGCTCATTCATAATCTGCTAACCTAAAGAATGAGCAATACTAAAACATATCCTACCTAGGCACTCAGTTTCTTACTTCAGGGAGCAGAAATCACTTCATGTCCATTCTTCTATGAAAGAATGAATTAGGGTGTCTGTTCTGTACCCCTTCTCAGATTGCTGAAGTGTCCTCTAGATTTAGGGTTGTATCAGAATGCATCTTTTGTAAAGTCACATGCCTCCACAATTTGAAGGATACACCAAGTCAAAATAGTAATAAACTTTGCTTTTGTATGTGTGATTATGTGAACATTTACTAGGATAATGCCATTTAAAAATATAGTGTTTTAATACAACAATCTTTTCTAACAGACATAGAAAGTAGTAGTTTCAGTAAGCATGTTTTAAAAGCAGTAAGAATTGAGGAGATACCAAGTCCTACAGTTTCTGCTGTGATGGGAATCTCTCAGCAGAACATTCACTCTTTTGTAATTCAGATCTTCCACACGTAAGAATAGAGTTGTATACTACATTGCAATTATCAGTGTCCTGAGATCATGAGAGCAGTTTCAAATGTATCTTCTTTCGTGAACCTTTATGAAAGAAGTTATTTCAGGTCTAAGCACAGCAAGAGGCATTAAAATATATTAGACTCCTCCCAACATGTAGCCACAGCTGTAAGCTGAATAGGGACAAAAACATAGTATATTTATAAGAAAAAAATATATATATATATTTGCTAAGTGAGCCACATAAATGGAAGGTAGGATTTTTAACCAAAGTTATTTTTTTTTTCTTTATGTAGGAAAGGAGTTGGCATAACCTATGTTTGGTTTTATATTACCAAGAACAACTACCAAACTTACAAACGGAAAACAAATATTCATTCATCCCTAATCAAAGCAGAAAGATCAATCAAGTTGAACAACAGAAAATGGGATAATCTTTATATTGGCCTATTTTGATTACACTGGTCAGCACATCTGTTGTTTTTTTAAAACAATGTCATGTGTGTCAATGATATTACTGTGATTAAAAAAAAGTTAATGCACATATCGTGAAAAAGGAGTAGAACAGTTAATGCTTTGTAAACATATTGGGGACAAATTTTGCCATTATGACTCCAGCTTTTACTGAACACATTTAAAAATCTGTCACAAGGGCCTTTTCCCTTTGGCTGACACACATTTTAACAAGCATGTTATGATCTGATAATATAGGACTACATGTGTATGCACACACACAAATATTATAGCATATACACATATACACACACACAGTATACATATGGCGATGCATACTGTAAAACATTACCAGTGTCAGAGCGATGTCCTACCACTGTTCCCAGCTAAAGTCATCTCCTCTACCAAATACAAGAAAAAAGCCTAAAATAGTAAGGAAAATGACTGCATTGCCAGCCAGGACCAGACCACAGGCTCCCCATTTGATCTGAAATGCAAGGAAATGAAACAATCAAAGCATTTCTTATAAGAGACGTACAGACCAGTCATTTATTTACATTAGATAAACTAAACAAAATACTACAGAAAGGTGCTAAAAGCATAAGGAAAAAAGGACAAACATTAAATAATTTGTGTATCTAATTATTCAATTAGCAACCATTCACATTATTAATACAGGACTGCAATAGACAGGCTGATAATGCCGCATTTTAGGACAAAATAATTATCTTGCCATACAACCCACTCAGTAAGGAAAATATGCATAAATTATAGGAAATCCTGGTGAAACCAGTGCTCTTTTAATTGCTGTGCATCAAACTAAGTCTTTCGAATAAACATAAGCAACGAACACGGAGAAGAGTAGGTGGTCTTAAAGGCAAGTAGTTCTCTGCAGCTGCGCATCTGCCTGACTAAGTTTATTTAAGTAAACAACATTTTACTCTTAAAAGACATAGCTAGGCATGAGCTATAGAATAGCTATTTAGAGTAAGTGTAGAATTAGAGTTCCCCCTTGTGGTCATTTCTGGTTCTGCCTACTGTCAGGTCCACAACTTAAAAATGCAGCGTCAGGGAATTGGCGCATTACAAATAAATTACAAAGCACCCAAAGCTTTAAGCAAAACTGAAAGACCAACGGGGAAAAACAAAACAACCCAAAAATGTCATCGGGTAGTCTGGGAGACAAGGGGGAAGAATTCTTTGCCTTGCAAACAGAAGCGACAAAACTTCGCCACTGAGGAGCAGTTCAGACCAAGGGAAGAGAAGCTAGTAGGATTTCCTCAGACTTTGAAGGGACAAAGCATAAGCAAGGGAAATGCCTTGAAAACCAGAAGAGCCATTTTGAATGTTTGGCATTTTATTTATTTATTTTTTTTACTGATAATACATTCTAGTTGCCAAATTATCAATACCCTAGATGTAGGAAGCAGACATTTTGAGATAAAAAAATAAAGAAGGTGGCATAAGAAGCAATGCAAAATTTGATTATAGAGAGAAGCATGAGATGTAGGAAAGGACAGTATCTTGTGTTAGATCAAAACATAAAGTTGGAAGAAAAGGAATACTTTTTAATCATATCAGTCCTTTGCTGGGGTCAGAAAGCAGAACAGGCAGAGACACGCTTCAGCAGCCTGATTATTTTCATTGGAACGTAGAAACACTCACAATAACAAAGCAAAAGTCGAGATTTACAAATAAAAATGCCTCCTTCTGGGTTGAAAAGGAGCAACAGCGCACTTTAAAAAGTTTATAAAGACTGTTTTGATACCCGATAACAGGTTTCTTGCAACAAAAGCCACCAAGCAGAACTCACCGCTTCAACCCGTGCCAGGATGATAGGAAACCCAAAGGCGGAGACGACAATTCCCGTGGTGAAGAAATACGCCAGCTCCCTGCAGGCGCTGCTGGCTGCATCACTATCGTCACTTACTCTTTTGGCAATGAAGTGGGGAATGGGGCAGATGAAGTAAAATATTAGGACAAACAACGGCCAGTAAACGCTGGGGAGGGAAAAAAATACATAAGTATATAGATAAAAGATTTAGACAGATAGTTTCTATAGAAGCGTATTTGGTTTTAAAAAAAATATAAATGCATGGTAAGTACAGCAGCTGCGATGCTACCTGACGGCTTGACAAGCGGGCTGAAGTGTTTTAACTCTTAGGGGTTCACCTCAGCGCACCTCCCACCTCCCGGTCCCGGCGCAAACGCTCCCCCGGCCTCAAGGACGAGTTAATTGCGGGACCCCGGCGTTAACTACGTTTATTTCACGGTCGCTGCGTGTTCCTGATTCACCTCAGGGTGGGGGAAGAGGAGCGGGGAGGCGCAAGGAAGGGGAGAAAAAGCTGGTTAAAGAGGAAGTGTGTGCGTGGAGGGGTGTTTTGGTCAAGTTTCAAGCGAGTTTTGCCGTTAAAACGACGCGGGAGGAGGGGGGGAGGAAGCCGCACCCG